GCGTCTTATTGATGGAAAAATACGGTATATCAAAATCTGCAAGATGGAAAATGGAATGCTGCAATACACGTCCTGCTTTCCGCTGGATGTTGCTGCCAAGAGTCAAACTTGATTCAGAAATTTGACTGTTCTCAAGTAACTTACAAGGCCACTCATTAAGGTAGAAAAACATGTTGTTGCTAAAGTTGTTACTTCAACAGCATTTCCCATTTTGGTGATTGCTAATTGTTCCCAAACCTCATGACCTCTGGATAAAGTCTGTTCTACACTGTTGCAGAGTAGTTAAGTGGTTGTGAAAATTAATTGCAAACAAATACATGGCAATACTCAAAACAGGTACTCACCGGTGGCATCATGCCAACTTCCTGCCAGGAACTCGAGGCAGTATTCATTGCCTCTCTCCTCCTAAAATGGTGATTAGTCCAAAGAAACCTAGTGAGCATATTTTAATGCCTGAATACAAATCTATGGCAGGGTTACATCTAGAATACTGTGCACAATTCTGGTTTCCACATCTCAAGAAGGACGTTGTGGAGTTGGAGAAGGTGAAAGGTCACAAAATGATTGGAGGCTGAAATACTTTATGAGGATAAGATGCAATGGTTTGGGTTGTTTAGCTTAGACAAAAGACACTTACAAGGTGTTATGAATGAGTTTTATGAAATTATGGTAAAGGGTGAACATGGAGAAGTTTTTCCCATAATACTAGAACTAGAGGTCACCCAATGAAACTGACTGATAAAAGAATTAAAACTAATAAGAGCCATTTCTTCACACAGCAAGTAATCAACAGGTGGAGTGTGCTGTCACAATGTATGGTGTTGCCTGCTATGTTAGATGGTTTCAAACAAGACTAGACATATTCTTGAGGATAGGTCTACCAATATCTGCTAGCTTTGATAACTGAGCACTGTCTTGAAGCATGGGAGAAGTTCATCTCTAGATAGTAGGTATACAGGAACAACTATTAGAGAGGAGGACGGCTTTAGTCACTTATCTGTGGATTTCCTAGAGGCATCAGGGTGGGTGGGTGGTGGGGGCACAGTGTGAGATGGAATGCTGACTTCTCATGGTGTCAGAGATGAACCAGCACCTTAACCACATTGTCTCTACTTGATAATTGCTGCAAAAATTTGAGGAATCTGTGATTCCTGAGCATGTGATTGCTTAGGTTTGAGGAATGTTGACCACATATATTTAAAAGAATTAATTATTCTGAACAAAAAGCAGCAGGAAAGTCTATACATCCCCTAAGGGATGGGAAAGACCATTTAAAACATTCTTCCTCTTATTTGTGAAAAAATAAGGAGCGCTAATTGAACCAGTCACAAGTTCCATTATTCTACATCAGTGTTTCAGGAAACCATGGGTATTCCTTTGTAAGATGCTGCTTGTTATGTCCAACCAATTATTTCAGAAGAGTTTATTGGGCATATGCGGATCTGCCCTCTTCAGC